AACTTCCTCGTGGCCGTTGCCGGCGGCCTGCATCAGCGCGGTGCCGCCGAGAGTTTGCTGGTTGATCTCCGCGCCGTGCCGCAACGCCAACTCGACCAGCTTCTCGTGGCCATACGCAGCGGCGCAACTCAGCGCGGTGTCGCCCTCTCTGGTCTGCAACGAGACATCCGCGCCGCGCTGGAGCAGCGCCTCGGCCAGCCCCTCGTGGCTGTAGGTCATTGCGAGCATCAGCAGCGTCATGCCGCTCGCAGGGCCGTCCGAAAAGACGAACTCGAACGTCGCGTTGACCTGCCCGCCGCCGTCGAGCCACGCCAGCACCGCCTCGTCGCCTCGCTCAGCCGCTTTAACGACCTCCTCTGGCACCGACCCGCTGATCAACACGGAGACGGACATCCTATGGCGTCTGATGCTACTCGAGTAAAAAAAAGCGTTTAACAACCCCGGTGTTCTCGCACTCACAGAGACGAGTCAGGAGGATAATTAGGATAAGAGTAACGTACGGTAACCATACAGTATGAGAGTGAACGACACCGAGGTGCGATTCTCGAGTACTATCCACAGTATACGTAAGCATGCTGTCCTGAGAGAGAGAGAGATTTCTAGCAATACCAAACAAATCTAACACTCACGCGTCATTTGGGGCCTGTCCTGTGCCGCCCTCACGGTCCGGGGGCGTGCGCTTGTGCGTCGGACCGCGTTCAGCCGGTCATGTCCATCCCGGCCGTGTCCATGTTGATCGGCGTAGGCGGGCGAGGAGCCGCCGCAAGTGGCGTCGCCCGAGCCTGCGGGCCGCACGCACGAGCGGCACCGGCACCGGCACGAGCGGCTGGCCAAGGTGCTCGTCGCGATCAAGGCGGGGGTCGAGCATCTCGCCGACCGTCTCGATGGGGTCGACATCGAGGAGGCGCGGCTGGCGCTCACAGAGGACAACATGGTGGAGGTGCTCCACCAGTGCGAGAAGAAGCTGCGGCGGGTGATTGACGCCATTCGAGAGGAGGAGGAGGCGATGGTGCGAGAGATGGGTCAGTCCACTCTCAAGGCGCGGCCGGACATGCCGTCGGAGCCGATGGCCGCCAATAATTGCCGCATTGGCGACGTGGATGGCGAGGACGGCGATTCGGAGGAGGAGTACGAGGAGGATCTGGAAGAGGAGGTATTTGACCGCGACGCTCTCAAAGAGCAGTCGCGAGGCATGCTCGACATGGCGAGCAAAAAGCGGACGAAGAAGAGGAGGGCCAACGGCAACTAGCGCGTATGGTGTCGGCGTCGCTGGTTTCGTGCTCGTTGGACGCATCAGCCTGGACGGCGAGCTGGATGGAGAGGAGGGCGGGAGATCTGTTATAAAGGGTGTTCATTATCAACCCCGATCCGCCGCACATCTCGTGCACTCCTTGAGCGGTCTCTCGCGCCGGCGCGCGCCCCCGTCACTCTCAAATACTCTCAGCTCTCACCCCGGCGTGCAGGGCCGAGATAATAGGTTATAGCTTATTGCGCGCCGAGCGGGGGTCTCCGGTTTTTTTGCGTATTGCGAGAGCTTGTGAGTTGTGAGTGTCAGTGACCAGTGTGTGTGATCTTATGCAGGGCATCTTATCGTTCACAGCGCCCCCCCAACAACAAGCAGCGGACATGCAGGGTACGGCTAACTAACATGCGCACGTCACACCAGGTTCGCCTCGAACAGATTCGCCACGGCTAACGCCACACGCGCGCCACATCACGCTCCCTTGCTCCGTGGCTGGTACTGGAAGAAGGAGAAGGCGGTGTTTTGGCGGAGCGAGGTCTGCATCGCCTCGTAGAGACGCAGCCCCTCCTCGCGGTACACCTGGATCGGGTCGGTGCCAGAGTACGCCTTGAGGCCCGCAAAGTCCTTGACGTACCCCATCGCCTTCATGTGCGCCTTCCAGAGCGTGTCCGTCTGCGTCAGCGCGAGGAAGCGGCCGGACTCGACCGCAAGACCCGGCCGGACGCTGTCCAGCTCGGCTGCCTTGGCGCGCAACGCCTCCTGCACCGCCGCATGCGCGCGCTCCTCGGCGCCGTCGCCCTCGAGGTCGGCGGCGGTGAGCGGCACCGCGGGGAAGAACTGCTGCAGCTTGGCGAGGGTCGCCTCTGCGCCCGACGCATCCAGGTTGCTCTTCAGGATGTCGGAAGCGGTGCCGGCCGCGTGGGCGGCGAGGGTGTCGAGCACCTCGTCGGCCGAGCCGCGCAGCACCGCGGCGCGGGTCCGGTAGGTGTCCTCCCTCTGGACGGCGAGCACCTGGGGGGGTGGGGTTTGGTGGGGGTGGGGCAACCCGTGGGGGGGGGGAGGGCG